GCGATAAGCATGTATATCCACAAACATTCAAGAGATGACAAATCCTAAGATTGATCATTGGTAGTTTGGATTATTTATGTTTTCTTTCTCTGTACCCTGTCAGGTATTTATGGAGTTGGCAAGGCGGCCGAGCATCCTCCTGCATTAGCAGTCCTGAGCCACAAACCAGAGGGTGCGACCCAAACCATTGCATGGGTGGGCAAGGGCATCGTGTACGACACTGGAGGACTCAGCATCAAGGGAAAGGTGCGTTTCCTCTGGAGAAGTGATGGTAACTATTGTGCATCATAAAAGGTTTTGTCATGCTACTGTCTTGGGAAAATCACTGCGGTCATTTTCAACACGGATTGGTTGTTTACTCTGTAATGAACAGAAAGCATGAATGCCAATTTCCTGATCTCATATTTCACTGAACATTGGCGGATAACAATGTCAGTAAAACTCTTTATTTCACACTGTGATTGTGAAGGTAAACTGTAATCAATCCACGGTTGACATGTGTGTCGACCCGTGAGGGGTGATCCGTACGGATCGACAAAACCAGTACACTACAAACCAGCTGGTAAAGCCTTCAGACTGTAAATATGTGGGCTGCTGGGTCACTCTCCTGGTCAGTGCAGGCTAGAGGTGCAGCACTGGAGTCACATCAAAGATGAGATTACCTTCCATCACATGTAAATGTTTTTTCTTATTTTTTATTATCTAGACATCAATGCCAGGGATGAAGAGAGACTGTGGTGGAGCTGCGGCCATTTTGGGAGCTTTCAGTGCTACTATTAAACAGGTGAGCTTTTGGGTTATCCCTCAGCAGCTGCCACCTCTGATTCTCTGCAGAAGAGTTGTTTTAATGGGACTTCCTCCTCTGTTGGCTCCAGGGCTTTAAGGACAACCTCCATGCTGTGTTCTGCCTAGCGGAGAATGCAGTTGGGCCCACAGCCACACGACCTGATGATATCCACACACTCTACTCTGGAAAGTGAGTCTCTCTCTTTGATGATGATGCTAAATCAACAGGAATGATTGTGGGCAGCTGGTATAAAAAGCATTCGTCATTCGTGTGTTTTTATAATCTCAAGGACTGTGGAGATCAACAACACTGATGCAGAGGGCCGGCTGGTGCTGGCTGATGGAGTGGTGTATGCCAGCAAAGACCTGTCGGCTGATATTATTCTGGACATGGCCACACTGACGGGGGCACAGGTGGGTGACAGCCACTGACAGACATTTGTTAATATTTGTCAACACAGCCCGTGAAGGGACCAGAACCAGCTCCAAATGTAGTCTTCTAACGGGTATTGTCTCTGTATCTAAAACGTCTTTTTGTGTCCGTCTGTCCAGGGGATCTCCACGGGGAAGTACCACGCAGCAGTGATGACCAACAATGAGCAGTGGGAGGTTGCGTGTGTGCGCGCTGGCCGCAGCAGCGGAGATCTGGCTCACCCTCTGGTCTACTGCCCCGAGATGCACTTCAGCGAGTTCACCTCGGCCATGGCTGACATGAAGAACTCTGTGGCAGTAAGTGACGAACTACAAGTTCATCAAAACCAAATGCTTAAACGAGGCCTGCTCGATGTGAGGACAATCTGCAATATTGTTGAATATGACAACATGACTTGAAGCGTCAGCTTGATTGTCCTTTGAATTCAGAACCCGATTGGGTATTAATATTTTATATATAACTAGGATAAATGTTTCTAGAGCAGAAGCACTAATGTTTACATTAGCAAAGTCACTGTATAAACTCATTATTTCACTGGAAAAAAAATCTAAAATGTCCATAAAATAAAGCATATTCCTAACATCACAATATTGTTTGACGATTAGAAAGAATGAAGAACACAGATCTATCAGTTTCAGTCCTCCTGCCACTGATAGAGATGTGAGGGGCTGCTTGTTCTCAGCCAGCTGATAAGTTTACAAGAATTTTAAGATATGTGTGCAAACTAAGCTGGACTACAACAGTTAAGATGACATATAGACAGCTATTGTTTCAACTTGTGTAGCCGAGGGTTACATTGCAACTCTTCTTTATGATGGTAATAATAACATGAAGGCTCCTTTTAGTCTGCAATTAGACGGCAACAACTTTATTACTCCAACCTTGTCAACAACGGCACATCACTGCTTCATTCCTTCCGTTGCACCCTTCACAATAAAAGAGGCGACTCATCAGTATAGCTTACAGTTGTTTGAAACAATTCGCTAATAGCCAAGCTAACGGGCCATACTAGAGGTGGATGAGAGACTGTGGACAGAGCAGATTCAAATCTCGTTTTTCTTCATGTTTACATCACGTTTACACTTGTTGAGAAATGCTTCAGAGTGATAATTAATACTACGGTATTTTGCCCCCGGGCCTGTTTAATCCCACATTTCGGTAAACATCTATAAATATATATATATATATATTTTTTTTTTATTCATCACGTGTTGATATCGCAATGATGATGATTAAATTCTTCGTTCAGCCCTACTTTACTGACACTTGTTTTTTTCCCCGATTGATTTATTGTAATTGTAGCTCCGTGTACCTGCATCTCCCTTATCTTGTGCACATTGTGCTCAAGTTGCTGAGGTTCGTCATCCTTTTCTTGTTTCTGCAGGACCGGGAGAACGCCCAGAGCTCCTGTGCCGGCCTCTTTATTGGTTCCCACCTGGGCTTTGATTGGCCGGGTGTCTGGGTCCATGTTGACATCGCCTCTCCTGTCCATGCTGTGAGTAACCAGGGGTTTGGTGTTTCTGACGGATGTTGTGCAATCAGTTAGCGCTCAAGTTTTTACCCTCAAATCACATCATGATCTTAACTTAATGTTCTATACTATACGTTGTATAGCCCCTTTCATACAAGAAATGCAGCAGAAAGCTTTACAATAAAGGAAAATAGACTTGTATGTGCCCTCTCTACCAATCGGCGGTTAGATCTCTGAGGGGTCATAGATAAACACAACAGAACCTACTGTTTCCGATGGCCACAGACTCGCCACAGATCTTGATTACACCCAAATAAGCATTTTTTTTTTTTTTTTTTTTTACCGTCTTCTCAAAGGTGTAAAGTCACTGTGAATGTGAAGGTTAACAAACACACCACAGTCTTATTGTCTCAAATCTAAGTAGTATAACTTAACGCACAATTTAAGGACCGTGTTGGCTATTACCAGAGACTCGGTGAGCTGAAAGAAGAGTCAGCAGAATGTGTAAGGAAGTTGGCAACAACACCGCTATGAAGCCTAACATCCCATTTTGTTTTGACTAAAGCTCATGTAGATCATTAAAGGATCGGTCCACCGTGTTTCTAGTTGGTCTGATGAGAATAATCAGGTGCCAACATGAGCACTAAAACAAGTTTTTCTTGCTGTAATCATTCTCCTGTTCATACTCGGCATTCAAAAGATCTGTTTTTATTGTAAGTGATGCAGAATAAAATCCACAATGTTTGCTCTGTGCAGAAAAGTATTCAAAAGCCTAGACTGTTTGTACAGAAACCAGCTGTGCCAGTAATAAATATAGAAACCCCATCTTCCTCGTTCGTTTAAGAAAACTCGTCGCTGTGTTTGAAGAAAGAAAAAGCAGCGTGACTGTTTCTCATTACACCTCATGTATACTTCTAAATCACAGAGATGATTCGACAACTTCCCTGTAGTAACACTTTGGAGGATTGGGTTGTAGAACAAACATCGTCTCATGTTTCAGTCACATTCGTTCTGAATGATGACTTTAAAATATAACTGCAGGGTAAGTTTACAGCAATGCTTGAATCTGACCCGTGTTTTTTTTTTTTTTGTCTGTGCAGGGAGAGCGTGCCACAGGGTTTGGCGTTGCTTTTCTGATGGCCCTGTTTGGTCAGGCATCGGACGACTCCATGCTGAACCAGGTGTCTCCTCTGGGCGCAGCCACCAACACGTCTGAAGACCAGATGGAGCGTGACTGCAAGAGGCGAAGACTGGTGTAGAACATACAAACGGTTTACTTCCCAACACTGACCGCTCCGCTGCCAGACCGCTGAAGAAAGTGCTCGTCCAGTTAGTTCAAACATTTTAAACTGTGATCCAATTTCCTGTGTTTGATAAATCTCACTGAATAAATCGGTCAATCATGAGAAGAACCAGGTGTGTTGTGTTTTTATGAAAAGCTAGTTTTCTGTTTTTGGTAACTACTGCACTCTGTATTCACACTGCGTATAGTTTGATTGTGTGATCTCTGGACCAAACTGAAGTGCTTACTGCAGGTTTTTTCACATTGGTGGCAGATGAGTAATTGACGGGCAATGCCACATATGCTTTGTCAGCACAAAATACACATACAAGATGTCGACTAAGTTCAAGTAGTAGACAGATTCCAGCTCAAGTATGATGTTATTCCACCCTTGTGACAATCTTGTCCTTTTTTAATAAAGGCGGTGTCATCTGACCTCTGAGGGCTGTAGATTAGCTTTTTGGAGACATCTGCTGAGAGACGCAGTTAAAAGTTCAGGGAAAAGCATTTAAATTATTTAAATTCAGACTTTTGTTTAATCTGTTTCCTAGGTCAAGAATGAACTAACTAACCGAGTTGTATTGCAGGCACCTACATAATGACCATTATGGGTTTTTTAGATGGTTTGAAATTTTTACTATCAGGAATAAAAACCTTTAACGGCTTATCACACAAGAACAGTGATAAGGGCCACAGTTCATTAACAGTACTCATGTGACTGATGGTTCACTCAAACTGCAGTGGCTTTGCAACAAATTACAAGACAACGATGCAATATGTTGCATTATATTGGATTTTATGAGTATTTTCATTATTCTGGTCCCCATTCTTTAAACGTGTTATGGGCGTTAGAGGGGTTTTTCTTTATTAATTAATAAAAAAAATAAACATGTCTTGTGGCGAAAATAATCTTTAAAAATTCCAAGTCAAAGTATATTTGATTTGATTGCCTTTACAGGACAGATTGTCTTTGTGTGTCCTCTTCACTGAGGGATGTACTTGTGACTTCCCTATAAAACATGTGATGTACTGGTCACATGACTATCGCCACTGACTTTACCCGTAGAATCACCAGTGATCAGGCTGCCTCTGCTACCGACAGACCCTCCTCTCCTCATTACTTAGTTTAGTAAAGAAAGGTGTAAAGCCTGCTCGGTGTTAAAGATGTCTCCAACGGCTTTACTGGTCCTGTTTTCGGTCGTGCTGTCCGGTGTGAGTGCCGGTGTGTTTTTCAACCAGAAGCAGCCTTGTTACGTCCGCACACCGAAACGAAACGATTTCGGACTGAAGTAAGTAAGCATGGTTGTGTTTTTAAAAGATAAGGTTAAGAAGAATCAACTTGTTAGCTCCGGGAAAAAGTCTGTTTTATCTAACAGTTAGCGAGCTAACGTTAGCTGTAGATAGCCGTTAACGTCAGTTGATCAAGTAACTGGAGTTAAAGAGTTTAGGTTTAGCGTTTATTACATTGTTGTATCTGTTAAGACTTAAGACTTGTGGTTAAACGAAACAAACGGAACGATATAGTTCCGCCTTCAGGGTTGTCTTATTACTGTATAAATCACGTTATTACTCTTTAAATCACGGGGCTTAGTGAACTAGTTACAGTTTGAGGAAACAGGTAAATTCCCTACCGCAATGAGCACTGACTCATTGTTCTAAAGACTGCACTGGTAAAAAGATACAAAGCACAATATATCACATTAAATGTGAACTAATAGATTGTGTTTTTTGTGCAGTTGATATCCCAACATGCTGTTTTAAAGATATTCAGTTTTGTACATGACCAGCATCATGTGGTGAAGAATACTAAAGTTTTCAAGATAAATATCAGGATTAGCTTTGGATTTTAATGTTTATATTTCTAAAGTATAGCTAGTACAGTAACGTATAGATTTAAAAATCTGTTTATGAAATATCATCTAGAGCTAAAATGATTAGTCGATGAAAAAGTATCTGCACCTATTTTGATAATCAAACTAACGCAGTGTCTTTTTTTAAAAGCCTGAATGTTAATACTTTTATTATTCCAATCCAGACCTAAGACATTTTTTAAATCATTTAAATAAACCAGCATTGGGTGTGTTGCTGCTTCAGAACTAATGTACGTATCACCTGTCTGTCCACAGGACCGCTCCTCGTCCTCATGAGTATTTAAACATTTCTGAATTGCCCAAATCCTGGGACTGGAGGAACATCAAGGGCACCAACTTTGTGAGCACCACCCGCAACCAGCACATCCCCCAGTACTGTGGCTCCTGCTGGGCCCATGGCAGCACGAGTGCGATGGCAGGTATGAATCAGCATTCCTGTTGGGGAAGAATAAACATGTACCATTGTGGTTTGGTGATGGTGTAGAACCGCAGGTGCTCACATGACTCTTCACACAGATTTTATTTTAGAGGATTGGAGTTTCGCTTTCACTTTGCACAGAAATGAGAACTAAGTCGTCGGAGGTGTCTTTATGTCTCAGCACCAGCTGCAGTCACGGGTGGAGGGTTTTTCTTCAAATTTGGCACAAATGTCCACTTGCACTCAACGATGGACTGATTTTGGTGTTCTCAGGAATGCCTTTTATGTCATAAAAGAGTGCTAGTGAAGAAAGTCATAAAGAACTTCAAAATAAGTCTTAGTATGGTATGCCAAAAACACTTGTCGCTTGTATAGTATGGCATAGAAAATGTCATTAAAAGTCATAATGTAGTATAACGTACATTAGTTAGAGTATGCCATAAAATGTTATGAATAAATCACATTATAGTGTCATAAGAAGTAAAGTATGTGATGGTATAATGCCATAAAAATCACAATAAAGTCATGGAAATGTCATCACATTGTATGCCATTAAAAAAATGAAGCTCTGGGTTTCCTCTCTCACCAGATCGCATCAACATTAAGAGAAATGGAGCGTGGCCATCGGCCTATCTCTCTGTCCAGAATGTGATCGACTGCGGTGAAGCCGGCAGTTGCCACGGAGGAGATCACAGAGGAGTTTGGGAGTACGCCAACACACACGGGATCCCAGACGAGACCTGCAACAACTACCAGGCTATAGACCAGAGTACGTGTACTTCAGGGCACACAGCCATGGTTACGATCACTTACCGTGTCTTATTCTGCGATACGTTCTGTGTCCCTCTCCAAAGAATGCAATACTTTCAATCAATGTGGCACCTGCACCACCTTTGGAGTGTGCAACATTGTGAAGAACTACACCCTGTGGAAAGTGGGAGATTTCGGATCTGTGAGCGGGAGGGAGAAGATGATGGCAGAGATCAACGCTAGAGGACCAATCAGGTTTGCACCTTGTTTTTGTTGTAGAGCAGCAGTAGGCAGCCGCTCTGGTACTTATTTGTTAGACTGCTGTGGAACATTTGATGAATCGTATATATATATCCACGTCTTCATTCCACAGCAGCGCTACACTTTCTGATTTCACTAATTGTTTCACCTTCACCCAGAGGAGGTGAGTAATCTGTGATGTTTTGCTTTCTCCAGCTGTGGGATTATGGCCACAGACAAACTGGATGCCTACACCGGAGGCGTCTACTCTGAATATCAGGAGGATCCTTCCATCAATCATATTGTGTCAGTGGCAGGATGGGGCGTGGAGAACGGAGATGAATACTGGATTGTACGCAATTCCTGGGGAGAGCCATGGGTAAGTCTTTATCAAACAGAGAACTTAGCGATGGCTGTCGGCTCTATCGTCAAAATAAATACCCTGCTTCCTGAATAATAATATTGTAATTCCCTAAGTAAGAGGGGACATCTTCAAATGCATTGTTGTTCAACGAACAGTCCCAAAACCCAGAGTTATTTAACTTCCGATCACATATAAAACAAAGACAACCAGCAAATCCTCACAATGTACCCATCAAGCTATCAGAGCGAAGATAGCATAGAGCCCTCACTGCCACTAATTGCACTCCCTGAATGAATATTATCTACTTTTTTATTTAAATAACAGAAAAGCAATTTCAAAGAGAAGCTACTTTAACGCTAGTTAATGATATGCTAACGCACTCTGCTCATGTTAGCTCCCCGTGTTTTTACGCAGAAACGTAGATCTTCAGGGATTAAAATGTTAGACGCTGGTTCACTTAACCATAAAACCAGCCTGAAGACGATTGTTAGGCGTCTATGTAGCAGAGCCATGAAGTTGTCGGCGCTGGCAGATAATCTGCTATGATTGGCCGGTCTGCATTCGAAGGGCGGGAACGTTTGGCATTTTGGCTTGAAAAATGACTACAACGATTGATCGTTCATCACAATAGTTGTTGATTCATTCCTCCAGGGTGAGAAGGGATGGCTCAGGATTGTGACCAGCGCCTACAAAGGAGGAAGTGGAAGCACATACAACCTGGCGTTGGAGGAGGACTGCATGTATGGAGACCCAGTGGTCCCCAAGGCCTACCTGTAGAGGAGAGCAGCACCCACAGCGTCAGAAGACACTCTTCATGTCTTCCTGTCTCGGGCAGAGACACTTTCTCTTTGTAAAATGTTTTAAAGGGAATACGATCTATTTTTTACACTTAAAGGGGTGAAATCAGACCTGCTCCAATCAATGCAAATATTCAGCTTTTTGTAGATCACATTTTTCAATGCAAACTGACTCAGCCAAAGAAGAGTTTATGATTAGTCCTATACTGCTGTGACACCGACTGTCTTCAGTGTGTGGTGTTTATTGTGTTGACAGTATTGCACCACACCGTTAGGAAAAATACATCAACTTTAAATTGTGCCTTACATGCACTGGCAGCCGAATACAAACTGTTATTTCCTTTTTGTGTTCACACTTATCTACACATCAGACATTCTGGAAAAATTGCAATCTTTGTTTTGTTGTTTTAAATTGTGTCAATAAACACAACACTTAAAAGTGATGCTCCACACACAACCTGTCCTTTGAGTACGAATCACTCCGTCTGTAGGCGGGAAACATCCTGTGCAAAGCTTCCTATGGTGACATGATTATATAGTTTACTGTATCTATGTGCCAGTCGTATTCACTGTCAAAATTCAACGAACTAGCTTTGTGCTATGCAGAAAACTTGGCTCTTTCTTGGTAACGTTAATGATAAAAATCCAATAAAAAAGCCATTTTACAAATGCAAGAAAGCACATATTCAGGTTTTTATTTAAAAACCACTTGAACCAACATAAAAATATAGAAAATCAAATATACAGGTGAAAAAAAAGGAAACGTTTAGCTGCATCTTCAGAGGCTTCTCCTTCAACCGGTCCGTCTACTTACTGAACTTCTCCCCGTTTTGTTGCCTCGATAGAAACAAATCGTTCACTCGGTCAGACTGAACAGTCCCGAGCTATGCGCTCCAACAGCAGAGCGTTTTGTGATCACAGATCTTCTTCCTCCGCTGGGTCTTCCTGGTACAATCTCCAACATTGTCGCTGTCAGTTTATCATGATGAAGTTTGACTTGCAATGAGCTGAGAAAACAGAGAATTAATTACCGACATGAACATGTTTCTAAAGGAAGTTTACAAATTACAAAAACGTAACAACACGTAACTTTTAAACAGTATATAGTTGGTTTTACTGGCCGGACTTTTAGATATCTCTCTCCAGTACGTCATGATTGTACCGACTCAAATAGAAGCGCGTCACCCACCAATGAACTCTGCTACAGGGTCATGCTCTCCCTCTGTGCGGATTGTTCCTGCGATGCTGTCGTTCTCCAGGATGGGCAAGAAGAGCTGAACGAAGTCTGATGTGTAGGGAGGAGCGATCACATCCAGCACCTAAAGAGAGCAATATTTAGGTTTAATCAGTTTGTTACAAGTTACAAATGATTTAAGATGGTGTTAAAGGTCTGTTTATGTCTGCAGTCTTCAAAAAAATGTAGTAAAACATTCACATTTTCAATGTTTCACTTGGGAGCAGCAGAAATAAGTTGAGAACACACCGTTGACTTACCTTTAAGTTAATATGGTGAAGCTTATTTACAAATACAAAAGTTATGGAAGCAACATGATTATTGTTTTGGAGTGAATTAATGATGAATTTAAGACCAGTACTTACTCTATTTGAGCTGTTTCTGTCTCGACCAACTGAAGGAAATATCTGGCTCTTCAGCTGCTAAACGCTCTGATGGCTACCAGCTAATTGCTAACTTTAAGGTGTTTTAATTTAATGTCTCAATTTATTATATATTATTCACGTAAGGATGAGCAATACCCACTGAAATCAAAGTCTCTTAGATTGATGAAACTTTGTTCAAGACCATCCTACGGCCTTGTGTGTATAAAACATAGTCTGATACCTGCAGGCACCCTGTAACTTCTGTGATGGAGGAAAAAACTCAAAGTTATACACTGTACGTAAACCAGAGTTCACTTCATTTTCCACGTTTTATCTCATGACCACTAATCAAGATCAGAAGGAGCAGTTACCTCAGTGACAAAATATCTAATGAGGGAGATGTCCGTGTTGAGTTTCTCCAGACACTTGCGAATGTAACCGACTACCGGCAGGACGTAGCCACGGCTCAGCAGATGAACCATCCGATCCAGCAGAGTCTTCTTCAACTCCAGCTGAGGGGGAAATGAGAGCAACGCGCCGTCAGCGGACAGGTTGCAACATACTGAACAGACTGAAATAAGAAGCATTACAGTGACACAAACAGACCTGCTCCATGACGTCCAACTGAGAGTGCTCCGTCTCAAAAAGCTTGATGAGCAGCTGGAGGACTTGCGGGTGCAGCAGCTGGTGACACGTACAGATCTGTGCGGAGGAAGCATTCATTTTCAATTCAACTGATGTCTTAAAGACTGGAAATGTAAAGGGTAATTTGAAATGTTGTACCTCGTCCAGCAAAGCTAAATGCACTGGAGTGTGGTCTGTCTGCAGCTGGAAGTAGCGCGGCTCAGACACCGTCCAATCCACCCATTTCAAAACCCCCATAGCGACGACTGGGAACCTGCATCCAAACAAACAAGTCAGAAGTGAGAAGGGCAGGATGTCGAACCTCAATTAGTCTTTAAAACAACTTAAACGTGTCAGCAGTCACTGAGTGCATCATCGTTATTTTTCAAAAACCTCATGTATTTCCCAATTTAAATCACATATAATTTATTTTGAATTATTTTGATCTTCTACAGCTGATCGACAAAATAAGTTTGTTTGCAAAGATTATTGCAGAAATCTTCACTACATTCCCTCCCAGATGCGGAGTGTCAAGTTACATCAATCTTATATTTCCAAGTCGGATCAGCTGGTTATTCCATGAACTTCAATTTCATTAATTATTTTCCCCCAGTATTGACAATTCCCATCCGATTGTTTTAATTTATGTTTTGCCTTTTACAACCACCAACAAGGCCACCATTATGAACATGTTTCTTCTCACATAGAACACCTCCCTCTCTTACAACAATAACAAGTTGAAGGCTTTTGAGGAACGAGATCTCGGCCGTCTCCTCACCGGATGCACTGGTACAAAGTGCCGAGTTCAGCCACCAGCTCGGTGGCTCCTTTGTTCTCGTTGCAGCACAGGTTGTGCACAGTCTCTATGGCCTTGGACGTCGACTTCAGCTCATCCTTATTGATGTTGACTCGCTTGTTCTGGGGTTGAACAGAAAGAAACGGGTAAAGAAGGTGAAACCAGGAGGTATAAAGAAACCACCAAAGTAGTTCACAATATGTTATTATTTTAGCCGGTTAATCTAAATCAAACAACTGAAAACTGCCATGAGCGCTTTGTGTCTGCGGACACTTTAGCTGCTCTCTGTACCTTTTTCCACGTTTCAACCACACTGGCAGCGTAGGCCAGGATGTGAATGTACTTGTGTTTGTGGTCTTGATTTATCTTTGATCCCGGCTTAAACAGCGACTGCATGAACAAGTCCAGAAAGGCCGGCACTCGGATCTAAAGATGAGAAAGACACATGTTTCAGCACCTTAACAGACATGCAGTGGATATAAACGGGGTCAAAGATGCTCCGTCCTCACCAGCTCCACAGGAGGCGGGTCCATGCTGCTGAACATCTTGAACAGAACTGTGATATCTGCCGGATTCAGGGCTCCTTTAGACAACATGGCCCCCAGCGCCTGGCAGGCTCGAGGGTAGGCTGCTGCTGTGCCGAGCGCGAGCGTTATCTGACTGGCATCGTGACCTCTGTGATATAAACCACAAACACAGTAGTGACGTCATCCACATGGGATTGATCTTCATGGCGAGATTCTGATGGGGAAAAAAAGACAAAGTTACCTCTCATGTGCGGACTTCTGCACCTCCTGGCCGATCCTTCGAATAGCTGAGCCGCCTTGTTCCTCCTGAGAGAGGATGGACATCATCGCCTGGAAGAAGAGGTAGGTGTGCTCGCCGTGACACACCATCTTCTACAGGAGAGGAGAGGACAAAGAGCGTCACATGTTGCAAACGGAGGAACAGAAAATCACATTTACTGACTGACTTTTACGCAATGTGGTGTTAATATAACACAGCTGTCACTTCATTAAGCGAAGGAGGTAAATAATCAAGAAAGATAATAATCGTTTCATCTATGAAATGTCTCAAGAAAGTTGAATGTTGTTCTTACTTAACGGTCCAAAATTCAGAGATTCATCTTACAATGATATCAAAGAGGAAAGCCACGAATCCTTAGATTTAAGAAGTGCGATCAGTAAATGTTTGTAATGACTTAAAAAAAAAATCAACTATCAAAATAGTTGATATGGAAACTAATCGTTTGATCATCTCAGCACTGCAATCAGTTATTAAATATCAATCACGTCAGGGTTCAACGTTCATGTTCCCTAAAGTCAATTTTCACTTGTCTTATAGAAATGGTTTGATTTATTCGTGGTTATAAAATAACTACTGTATGTAAATTGTCACGTTTGATCTCTACATGAATCTGGAGTTTCGCCCCCATCCTCTTACTCCACCCAACTAAACGCCTGTTTCCAGGATAACTGAAACGTCCGCTTGCGATTCAGCTCATAAACTTTGTCTTCACCCCATTGTCTCACAAGAGCCCTGTTGGTTCTGCGCATGTCAAACTCAACAGAGAGGAGAAGGAAGCCAGACGGCTGACTCCTCAACTACTTCCATCATCAACGGCATGTTTACTTCTTTTTTTTATTAGGCAAGGAAGTTGCTAGATTTACAGGCGCAAAGCGGCCTTTTATTTACCCCAGACAATCCTTACTGTTAATCCCTACGATGTATTGAAAGAACTGTAAGGTACTTAAATACAATATACAGTATACTCTATGTGTCAGCCCAGTGATAACCTGGCAACTTGTCCAGGATGTACTCTGCACAATGTCAGCAGGGATCGGCTCCAGCCCCCCACTACTCTGAAGAGGATTCATTAACCATGATGCTGTGAAATATTATAAAAGGTGTCATCTTCATTTATTTTTCAGAGAAGCTAACAGGCTCACTGCAAATTCTGGCAGGTTCTTCTCCAGGTTTTCTTCTCCTCCATCCAGTAGCGTGGCCAAAGACGTCCTCAATACTCGGGAGAAAACCTCCAGCTGCTGACACGCTGTGGACACACTGGTGATCTCCCCCTGATACCCTGCGTCTGAAATGAGCTAAACACACACACACACACACAAAGTAAATGTTACGTGACCCACACACACACAGAGACTCTTCTATTACATTAGATTTCATCTAATGTGTGCTCAACTTTGCAAAACATAAAAGAAACAGACATTTTAGTAGATTTAATTGAAATACTACTACTACTATTGTTACTACCGCACCTTTACAGTGAAGTTGAGCATCAGGCAGTCTGGGTGAGCCTCTGCCAGCTTATAGAAAAGATCTCTCCACGTAGTGTGCGCTATCATCTGCTCGAGCCAAGCAGGAGTCTGAAAACACAACAGACGGGATTGGTTTGGTTTCACTTCTATGTAACCATGACAAATACATATTTTTGCACAAGATGTTTAAGATTTGTGATCACTTGTACTTTGTAAAAATTACAACCCAGTGTTGAGAAATCTCACCTCTCCCTCAACAGTGAAAATGGAATCAGCTTTTTGGGGGTCAAAGTGTTTTATCAGGAGACTTTTGAGGTGATTTTCTACTCGCTCTTGGACCTGAGCAGGCTCTACACCTGCAGTCAAAGCACAGAAATGACAGATTAATGAACGGTCACCAACAGGCTTGGATTCCAAGCTAAGGAAAACAATGCAGGTAGTTTTCGACCCACCCATCTGGATGAGCCACTCTGCCAGGAGATTGACGGTCTGAGCCACAGCAGAGTAGTTTTCAGAGAGAAGCTGGATGACGTGTTCTGGAGAGCCACCCGATAGGAAATACCTGTGAGGAAAGCATGGTTTCTATCATCAAATTCTCAGTAGGTCTTTAGGATTCAAAACACTAGTCATCCTGTACAGTTTTCCGTTAACTTTGCCGTCTCATTCTCATTTAAAAATGCTGTGTTTGTAAGAGGCAGGTGCTTACGTTTTAAGGGTGTTGAAGATAGCAGGCTCCATGATGTAATCCCTGCTGGAGAACTTTTGAAAGCAATCTTCCTGGATTTTCCCATCATTTTCCCCTTCCACATAATCCTGCACACAGGAACATTGAAATATGAGTTTATGCTTCTATAATGGCTCATCTGTCTTTACTATGTAATCTCCACACTGTTGGATTTATGTGACTGATTGAGCAATAACAGATTTGAAACGCTAACATGTAGATGAAAGCTCTGCGTTACAGCTCAATAACTTAGTTAAACTTTACTAAACGTACACAACAAAGACTCTATGGGGTCCTTCTCTATGTCCTTTCTAGTTGAATGCATGTGTTACATAAACTGTCTCATTTGGCTTCTGCAGCAGACCTTCGGAGGTTTACCAGAACAACCTACCTAATGTTACGCCATTCTTATGGCTTAAATGGTTAAATGGTAGCGTTGTTTTCAAGTGAGCTTAGTAACCGTTAACGTGCAACTTTAGCTTCGATGTCCACCAGCTGTGACATTAGTTAGCCTGTAAATTAGCGGGCTAACGGAGCCGCTAAACTGCTATTTTATCAGTGCAGCTTAGCTGTAGCATTGTCACAACAACAAACCAGCAGTGTGTGGCTGCCGTTAAGCTAATGCTGCTTAGCTAGCTAACTAACTGTCCACTCCGAACAGCAACAAGTCGTGATCTCACCGCGGGACCTTCCCCCGTGCCTTCCCAGTCTCCACCGCCGCTATAATATTCCTCGTCCATGGTGACGGGAGAGAAGTAGCGTTGAACTAGCTACAACAACCTAACTAAGTTTTAAATCTTGACGTGACTTTGTTTCACCGCGGAGCAGCTAGCTTATTTAGCTAACAACGGCTAACAACCGCTAATAACAACAGGAGGGAAATGGCGAGTCGGTGAGTATCAGGCCACGCCTACCGATTTGATAGGAATGGTGTCTAGGCCCTGAGTTTAGCCTGTCAGGCAACTATCCGCTAACCGTGAATGAGTCAAACCTCTAAATATTTAACAAAACGCAAACAGAGCAACAATTTAACCAAACATTATGAATTATAAATTAATCAATTCTTTTTATGTGAGTAACTTGAAACCTGATGGTAAATATTACAGGTCTAAAGACTTTTTAAATACAAGTAGATGTATATAAACTATTAATCAGGAACCACAGTTTAAAAAACATATATGTATGTAGTCATCAATATTAGTATTGATAGTATTCTATTTCATTATGAGAGTGTGTTGTGGAAAATATTTTATAAAATCTTTTCTTTCTTAATTGTATTCACTGACACATTCATTTCTCCATACACAATTGTTTCCTGCTTTTGTTTTGAGGTCCTTAAATTTGAAATTGATCAAGTCAACCCACCAAAATCTAAATCAAATGCAACATTTTACCTGTATGGCATTCAGCACTAAAGATTGACGAGTTCAGGCATATGGGAACAAACTTTTTTTTATTTTATAATGCAAACTGCAACATATGAATTATATTATTTACCCAAAGGAGCAGAAAAAGGTCACACAGTCTGTTAAATCTAAGTCCAACACAATATTTTCATCTAAACCATAAAAAGGGAAAATCCACCCTAAAACAAAATGTACATTCCTTTGATGTTGGACAGTTCATTATTATTTTGTGAACATAATCAAGTCTTAAGCAACACCATCGTTTCTTTCCTGTTCTTGCAGACAGCGCAAAAGGAACCACACTTTATTTGTTACGGGATATAAGGGATACGTATTCAGATGCAAACTTTTGCACATATTGGATCAAATAGCTCAGACATACAGTCCTCACTCTCCGGTTTCTGATTCAAATTCTGTTCACAAATTTTAATTCAATTGTGCAATATCATAGGATTCAAATGTCAATTCTTCAGGATTTTTGCTTCAAGAAGACATTCTATAAAAGAATTTATAAGCACAAATATAGCTCAGGTGAAAACTGAACCTCAATTAATCAGTTCAGTTATTGCTTAGATAAATAATATTTACTCTACAAGAAAAAGAAGTTTCACATTGTTCAGATGTATGTATATAAAAAAAAAAAAAAAAAAAAAAAAAAAAAAAAAAGCAGTTTTAAAATGTGATGTCAAATTGACTTGTTTTGGTTGAAAAATCCCTGCGCTGTTAAAACATTTTGTAATTTTGTACATCTGCATCAAGTCTTGGAAAGTTTCAGAAAGGATTAGTTGATTGGCTGAAAAACCAGCCACGTGACAAAAACAGTGACAGAAGTCTTTTGTAACTCTGGGATAAAACAGTGAAGAGCACCATTTTCACTACGGGCAAGCCTGAAGGTAAAGGGGGAGAAGCCACAGGAGCACACAGAGTTCAGGTGTGCACTTAAGTGCTGGGGTTCGCAACAAAAAACGCTGATCCTTCAAAGTCGCTTTTTGGTCTTCATTCTCCTCGGTCATAGTCCGGCTGTGTGCAGCTTATGCAAATATAGTCGTCCTTCTCTGCTCGCTCAGCAGAAAGTCCTACACAGACCTGGTGGAACCATTGATTGCAGCTGCCGTCACATTGGACCCAGTTTACCTGAGAAGCAGTAAGACGAGAGTGAGAAAAATGTCAACAAAATAAAAGATGTAAATCAGTTAAGACTCCTGCATGTAGTACATTAAGTAGACGGATGTAAAACAAACCTCGTCGGCCTCTGGCTCTCTGCACCATGGTGCAGCACACAGTGAGTAGTCCTCCTCTGAATCTGAAGCAGTGGGGTCAGACACTGTGTGTGTGGGAGAACACGCAGTGGGGTCAGACACTGTGTGTGTGGGAGAACACGTCCACTTGGTGTCTTCGCTCTTCTCTTCGATCTTCTCTTTGCTCTTCTTGGACTTCTTTTTGCGGCACTTCTTGGGCTTCTCGCTGTGCTGCGAGTCGGAGCTTTCCTTACGCCGCTTGGTCCTTTTGCTCTGACCATTCGCCACCTCCTTTTTGAGACCGGGAACTCCATTCTGTGTTAAAGGCAGAAATATTAAAATAAACACATCATAATTAATGATACGTCATAATAAGTGCGATCGAGAATATGATCCACAGGCAACACGCTTTGCTGTATTCCTCATTACCTTGTTGTGGTGGGGGCTCCCTCTCTGTGACTGTTGGTCCAATTCTGTGATGCTCCCACAAGGGGCGCTATGTGAGAGCAGGGGGGCCAGTTTGTACAGCAGGTATTTGTACAGCTGCTCAGTTTCAGGCAGAGTGACCTGCAGTAGGAATCCCTCCACCATCAGCTCCTCCAGCTCGGGGCCAAGACCTGTGACAAATATGATGAGCGGCCGAGAGTTCAGAGGCGAGATACAAAAGGATAAATGCAAAGTATGCTCGGATGCAGAGTGCTTAAAGAGTTTACACTGACCCTGGAGTGGAATAGACTGGTGCTCTGTATGGAACAATGAACCGTTTATTTCCTGAGTCAGATGTGAAGATATTCCGGGTCCAACCTTGCCCTGAAACAATAAACAATCAGTCAGCATGCTTGACGACAATCAAGAGATTCATCTATTGCACTGTATGTACACGGAGTTATAAAATGTGTGTTCCACTGACCATCTTCGACACTTTCTTCAGCACTCCCTCTGTGCACGCCTGCTGAACTCTGTGCTGCCATCGCACCGTCCTTTCGATGAGGAAGCGCAGGGCGTCCCCTTCTGGCAGCCGAACACGAATCCTCTGCAGTGACGCCAGCAGAGGCAGCACCTTGTCCAGGGGGGGTTTCCTCGACCGCTGGCAAAGTGGGCAAAGCCAGGCTTGGCCGTACTCGAGGTCTGCCGTCGTCGTAACGCAACCGCAGTGGAAAACCTCTCGGCAGAGTTCACACTGCATCATGGCACCCGAAGGGGCCTTTTGGCAAACGCAAACACTAAGTGCACAACAGTTTTCAGCAGGAACAAGCTTGGACTCGTTTGAAGCACGCAGAGCCAACAAGATATCCATCTCCCTCTGGCGGACCTCAGCGAGAGTTACCATCTGTGAAGGAGGGAAATGTAACTTAATAAGTAAAAAATAAAGACCGATCTCACTCTCTACAATCTGACACCAGATTACGCTCATGACCACAATTGTAATCCGGGCTGTCAAGGTAGCATCACCACACTGTTGAAATAGTGTTCATGAGTGATAATAAACCCATCATGTCTCCCTGTTCACTTTGTGAAGCATCCATCCTGCCTTCTATTGCTCCGTGGCTCCCATAGTAGACCAGGGACTTTGTTTGTTTTTTTATGTAAAGTATGCTTCACAGCGTTTACAGCTGAAAGCTCCCAGAAGTGAACAGGGAACATTGCGTAATATGCCACATAGGGGCCATTTTGAATTAATTAAATAATTTAGTATTTCTTTTGATGAGTTTTAGTGTGTGTGTATTTTGAGCCCCTCTATTTAAGGTATTGTAAAAACAGAAATTTTCACGTCCTTTTTTTTTTTACTGAGCAACTGTTAGTATTAAAACACTCAATCCATTGAGACATACACACAGCCCGTACTCAGAAACTTTGCTTTTAAATGAGCCGTCAGGATTTCTGTACAGTTTCTACTGTAAATATTCTAAATGTGACCCAGTTTATTTCTGGTTGCACTGCATTTTAGGACAGTAGGGTTTCTTGCAAATTTAGACCAAATGTAACAAGATGAAACATGATGAGGAATGTTGTTAACGATCACAATTTAACCCCCCCCCCCCCCCAACTCTACTTGTACTATAACTGAGAAAAAGAATACTGCATCTACACTCACAGCAGAGGCAGAGTCCTTGCTCTCGGAGAGAGCTCTGTCCACTTCACACAGAGAATCCAGTTTAGTTGGAGATTTTTTACTGATTTGTGAGGCTTCTTTCGATTTTTTAGATCTCGATTTCTGAAGCCCGGTACCTACATCACATCTCGGACAAAGCACCTGAGAACATAAATGAAAAAAAACACATTATTTATTGGTCCTGTGATACAGCTTTGAACTGAGCACACTCACTAACATCCGTTTACCTCAAGGAGAGAGAAAGGTGAATTTTTCAGAAGGAATGTCTTTGCTGCGCTCTCCTTCCAGGTCTGAACGTCACTGACGAGGACTTCTAGTCGACTCAGCGGTTCGAGCATCACTGGGATGGCCTCTGCTCTGAGGAGCAGCTCAGAGAGGCTGTCCAGCACAGGAATACGTCCCCCGAGCTGCAAACAGGCACACACCAGATTTATAATCCAAATTCAACCATCTCTGACCATCGCAGGCCAAGTGTGAAGAGCTGAGATCATAAAGCATGGTTTAAATTTAAGTATATTTCACCTGAAGTGCTTCGGCTTCATGGAGCCATTTCTTGGCCTTGCTGACGACATCCTTCAGCTGCAGACAGTTGGGCAGATAGGCAGGGATGTTTTCCACTTCTTGTAGAGCGGCATCGAGTGTGTCCATGTTGTGATTCGGCCTTTAAAGAGACATGAGCTTTAGTAAATACAGTTTACATGTTCAGGTTTCTTTACAATGTCTCATGTGGGAGTGTCACGTCATCTTTTATCTTGTGCGTTTCAGTTTTAAACCCGACCAAAATAAGACTGCATTTCCAATAGATGTATATACATCAAGTATCAGATCATATATGAGGTGCTTGCTATGGCAGAGTCTGGTGCTCTCCAGTGGGTCTCTGTGGAGCCATCAGAGGGTTAAACACTGTCACAACACCATGATCCTCTTTATCCAACATGATCCAGCTCTGCAGACGTGGCACATTTCACTCGGCACTGTCTGAAGTTAAAGCTGATTTCACGTTTTTTATTTAATTGTAAATTTACAAAACAAAGCATGAATTCACCGTTTAGAAATACAGACTTTACGTTATTTTAATAAAGTTGCAGGACGTAAGTTCACAACTTAAACCAAACTGAGCCGTTCCTGAATTTCACGAGAGTCAGATTCCTGCTCGTTTATAGAAGACGTGGGTA